TCCGGTTGTATTTAGACGTTTTCTATAGAGTGATCCATTTCAAGACACCCCACTGGTTTTTGTTTTTTTAGGGGTTTTTTTTCTCTCAACAGGGCACCGAATACTGTGAAAACGGTGGTCCCATGTCTTACAGCGGAGAGTGTTAAAATATGTACAGCACATAACTGCATTGACGGAGACATGCAGGGGATTTCAATTAAAATGGAATTTTCTCTAGAATGTCTGAATATTGTTTGAACGGGGTATCTGGAAAGTGGATCACCCCGTGAACCCAACTGGCATTTGTACACAGAATACTTTTTTTATCCTGGAGAAATCCGATGAGCTATGCCATGAAGCAATTATTCACAGACGCTCCGGGAGGGGCGCGCATACGGCGCGATGTACCGGTGGATGGATATATCCGTCATCAATCCCCTTCAACGTCTCACATCGTTTATAAATACAAACAACAAAAATCGATCTAACATTTATTGACAGCGAGGTGGGAACCCGATGACGAAAGGGATATTTTTCGAACGGAGACCTGTGGAGGTCATTGCGTTTTTCACGGAGACGCCACGCTTCCTTAACGGCCGAATAAAATTTCGATTTAAAGCTTTCGTGACTGCAGGGATTCATCTTCTTGGTTCTTTCGGTAAAGTCACATAGAATGGAAATAATAAAGTAATATATTATTATATTATATTTTTTTATGTTTGATATTTTTTTTTTTATTATTTCCCTTCTACGTGACTTTACTGAAAGAACCAAGAGGACGAATAAAAATCTATAGTAAGTCGCGCGAACGCACGTCAGTTACAAAACAAACACAAATATTGTTATAATCATTAAGCATCGCCCTGACAAAATGCCGGGGAAACGGCCATGCGAGGAATAATTAAGATATTAAAAAATCTAAACACCGACGCCTAACGCAGGTAACGGTATAATACACATTGGCTATATTTGGACTGTCACGACAAAGCGGGAGTGATGAATGGTAGGTGCCACCGGCGCGCTTATGAGCATCTGAGATAAGCGTTCCATAAAGCGGGGGGGGGGTGGGCGGGCGGGTGGACCGGGGACACAGCGCCAAGGACACCGCGAGGAGATTTACATTCGAGCCACGGGGCCGTGCAGAGTGCGCGCGAGACTGGCAAGAGGGCGCAACACACGAGATTCAGGCTGCAACCAGAAGGGCGCCACTCTGGAGAGATGTTAACCACCAGGAGCTCGTGGGTTCTATCCCGACCCTGACGCCTGTTCCTGGTTGGCAGGGAACTCCCGGAGTGTCTCGCCGCTCCTGCCTCGCGCCTTCTTCTGCATTTCCTCTCCTCTTAAATTTCGATGTAAAGCTTTCGTGACTGCAGGGATTCATCTTCTTAGTTCTTTTGGTAAAGTCACGTAGAAGGGAAGTAATAGAATAATCAAAATAAAACATGTTATGTTTCATATATGTTTTATTTTTATTATTCTTCTTGGTTCTTTCGGTAAAGTCACGTAGAAGGGAAATAATAAACTAATAAAATGAAACATAATATGAAACATTGTTTTATTCTTATTATTTGATTATTTCCCTTCTACGTGACTTTACCGAAAGAACCAAGAAGATCCTCTCCTCTTGTTTAGCTCTTCGTTTTGTTCACTTCTCATGTCCTCCTTTTTCTTGCTCTTCTCCGTCTGAATGTTGTTAGCTGCCCTACGAACGACTGTTAAGGGTGCTTTATCAATTTAAATCATTATTATATTTGGAGTTTGCATATTCTCCTCCCTCCCCACGATCGCGTGAATTTTTCTCTGGGTCCTCCGATTTTTCTCTCCACATTTAGAATCGACGTCACGCGACTAGGAGTATTTTGCTGCTGTAAATTTCCACGTGATGATACGACGCTTCGTCGAGCTCTCATTTGGCATAGCCAAGTCACTTGTGAAAAATAGCTATACAGCTCAGTGGGACCTTACCTGGCAAAATAGAAAACAGTTTAGTTTCTGTGTTTTTACTTAACATTCAAAATGATTTCCTGCCCAAATCAGCTCATTTGCCATTCACAAGCGCACAACGTTGGTGGAAATCCCACCTTCCTACAGCGGGAAGGCGAGTCAGACCCACAGGACCGACCGCTTTGATGATGTCCCCTAAACAAGTGGTAACTCGTTTTAGCGACGCCGGAGGAGGAGGATGATGAGGCCGAGTCGACTGGCAACCACGATTTGAACTCGCGACCCTTCTGACCGCGAGCCGCTCGCCCCACCGCTCAACAACCTGGACGGTTACCGCTGGGGGAAAGGTGAAGAGTGGAGTGTTGCATCGTGGGAAATAACGAAAGCTTTGGGGGGGGGGGGGGAGAAGCCTTCATCCAGCAGTGGAATGATCATGGCTAAAGATGATGACGACGACAACGACGATGATAACCTCCGGATTATAAGACGCTCCAGAAAGTAAGACGCAAAATTTGTGCTTTGTATCACTAGTCAAACAGATATGGCCACACACACACACCTAATGGATTATAAGGTGCACCCCCAACTTTTTTTTTAAAGACAAACGAAAAAAATACATTGTGTAAATCTGGAGAATAGGGTAGATAATCTCAGCTCGTTATACGAATGTTAAACCAATGACAGTGAGTGGCGATATTACGTGCAGTACAATGTCATACGAAGGGCAAAGACTCTCCCCCTGTTTTCACGAGTAATGGAGCAAGTGCTCATTGCCATTGATGACTGTGAACCAAAGGTGGAAATTCCACATTCCCATGGAAGGGACCAGTATTTTCGTGGGGGCCACAATAATCAAATGGGACAGAAGATTAATAATATCAATGGTTGTAGAGATGCGGTGTTCACGTCAGCCAAGAGTAAGCCAATGCTGGATGAAAGGCCTCCCAAAATCCACTGTAGCAATCCGCACAGCGCCCGTAACCCAAACCGATTTTATTGCTCCATCTCCGGGGTGGTGGTCGACCTCTTAAGCGCGGTCCCCCCACTTTGGCCACTACTCCCGTCATTCATCTCGACGACCAGCCACCACCGTCCCCGTCTAGCGACGTGTCCTGCCCATGCCCACTTACTTAGTTCTGTTGACTTTATTGGTTTGTTGCAATATTATCATCGCAATCATTGGGGGGAGGGGGGCGGGTGGAAGGAAATGTTTGAAAAACTTTACGTAATGGTGTAAATATTCGCGTGGCATGAGGGCATGCAGGTGTATTCAAAATCAGATAAGGCCTTGCAAAGCCAGATAAAGCCTTTTTTGCAAGGCGCCAAGCCAAACGTTCACCGCTCACACAATAGAGCACCTGGCGTCATCACAATTTCATAAGCAGATGGAAAATAACAGTTTAGTGTCACTCATCAGCACACCAGGCTCACGTGACAAGAGCAATTGCAGTGCATCAGTCATCCGTTTACGCATTTCCTTTATTTCAACCGGGTGACAGCCCACTGATTCTCTCTCTCAAGGGATCCCGAACTTGCACAGAAATATACAGCAGTCCCTCGGTTAACAGTGACATCGGTTACCAATTTTTGGTTAACGTTTCGCTTTCCCGTAGGACCCCATAGTTTCGACTGTTAAGATGTTGATTCGCGGTACGTTTGCGGTACGCACGCGGGTGCCAATTTCAGCCAATCAGAGCGCTCGTAAGTGGGGCTGAGCCATGCCCTCAGCCAATCGGCGACGCCCATTTATGAGCGTTTAAACCGCGACTGGCTTTGTTGACATTATGTTTTCTGTTTTAGGCAGAAATGCAATTCCTATATTCGATTAACAGTTATTTCGGTTCACAGGCGTTTTCGTGGAACGGATTCAAAAGCGTTAACCGAGGGACTACTGTACAAGCAGAAACTTGTACCAGATTTACCGGATTTCTTCATTAGAAGTAGGAATGACGACTCCACTTCTAAAGATAAAATGAAGCATATCTTTCTCTCTTTTGTTCACTGTGTCCAATATGCGTGCATTCAAATAAATACAAAACGGTCCACAACAGTTTGCTTGCTTAAACAACTGCTGCTTGATAATATTGGTCTGGAAAGCCAATAAGTCCTTGGACCAAAATCATATGTTGATTTACATGCGGCGCTCTGCTTATAAACATTTTAAGGGGTTTATATATAATTCATCCTATCAATGTACAACCCATTTTTAGTCAACTAAACAGTGCTTACTTGAGCCTTACGAGTTCATTGGAAACCCGGCAACTTGTTGTTTGCACTGCCTTGCTGGCCATTTGCACACAGAGGGGTCAAGGGTCACAGAATTAATCAGGCACACAGGGGAGCAGCGTCACCCTGACAGCGATTTGCTAAATGCCAGCAAATATTTGCCGAGCAATGCACAGATGAACACCGGTGGTCGTGGTCGTCATTCACGTTGGGCTTGTTTTCAAAAGTGATGTTACTCTAAGTACGGCCGTTACCCCTGTAGGGCAATAATGCTGTGACGTGGCCGAAGCAGACCAACTAACTTTTCTCGTACCCATTTACACTTCTGGGTGGGACACAGAGGCGACGGATGTGAATTAGGACACTTTTAAAAGTAGTTTTATATTTAATTCCTCCTATCAGCTTTGGAAACGTGCACCGGTTGTTTCAACTGCCTTGCCAGGAGATGGAATTGAACCGGTGGCTAGCCAATGGGTCACAAATCCAGTGTGCTGACCATTACTAAAATAACTAAACTATTTTTTATTTTATCAGGGAAGGCCCACTGAGCAATATAGATCTTTTTCAGAAGCAACCTGGCCATCAAAAATGATCGCTCAACCAAGCGGCTTATCGCGTGGAAATTTCTCGCACTAAGCGCATGTTGATTCTAATTGCGGAAGGGAAAACCCGGGAGGACCCGGAGAAAAATCCACACGACCACGGGACGAGACAGAGAGACAGAGAGACACACGTAAACTCCAAATATACAGGCATCAGGGTCGAGATCGAACCCACGACCTCCTGTGTACCAGACAAGGCAGTTAACATCTCCTAGTCCACCGTGGCACCGACCGAGCGTTTGTACATACCTCGAAAGCTGCTGACACAGGAAGTTAACCCAAGGTGAGGCCGGGTTGCAGACACTGAATATTTAATCTGGCGAAACACGCACACACAAGCACAAAATGAAAACACGGTTTTTCAGTTGATTTTCTTCTAAAACAGATCCACCATCGAACAGCGAGTACCAAGCAACATGCAAACGCCGTGTTTCTCACACATTAGTTCACACGTCACTGCTGCGTGAATCTGAATTAGCTCTAAACATAGCTATGCTTGACACACCCAATAACTCCTTTCCTGGCAAGCAATTTACAAATTGGACACAGTGGAAGACTCTTACACGATAAATTCAGGATATTCTCACTTCAGAATGCCATACAATTCCAAGGTTAAGACATCGGTGAAGGTCACGGTCAAGTTGTCTTTGTAGAAGCAGGTGGCAAATCAAGAGACCATCTTCAAGGGTGACCTCTGGGTCACAAAATGATAAAGAACCGCATATGAAGGAAACATAAATCCAGCGCGCACACAAAAAAAACTGTGTCGCCATGAAACATCCAAAATAGCGCAACGAAATAATGCATCCGCATTTAGAGAAAAGTGGCAAAAAATATAACTGTTGATGATTGAACTCATTTTACTTGTTAATTCAAGTGAAAGGTGAGCCCCGGCAGGTATTGAATCTGCGAGTGCTGCATGTCACTTGAATCTGTTGGCATTCAGATCCTCTCTGTGCAAGGCCTCATCGTCTTGTTATCACGCAAGTGCGTGCAACTTTAACGCAGCCATTTCTTGGCCTTTGATTGGAGCTAAAACGGCAAAGGTACAGCCCTGAAATTGCTTGCTCACACGCCTTGCTGGCTGAAGGGTCCGGTGTGCTAACCACGACCCTGCCCCTGTGAGACCTCTGGATTGCAAGTCCGGTGTGCGAACCACTAGACTGCCACTGTGGGACTTCTGGATTGCAAATCCGATTTGCTAACCACTACACCGCCCCTGTGGGACCTCTGGATTGCAAGTCTGCTTTGCTAACCACAACACCGCCGCTGTTGGCAGCTCCGCTGATAACACCGAGGACATTTCTTGATAAGTAGCTTCACATCTACGCGTGTGCGGTTTGTTCATTGGTTATATTTTGTTTGGTAAATGAAATCCAAATTTAACGCAAATTAGCGGTGGGGTGGGGGGGAGTAGCGAGAGGGGGTTCCATTCGTTGGGGCAGCATCTGGATGACCAAGGCTCTCCACCAGGGTCCTCTCGCACACTAAAAAATAAGAGGGGGCTTTCTCAGTGTACCCACCGTAAACGCGACCAGCTCGGATCAAGGACGAGCGACATTTCAAATGTCAGTGACAAGTGCCTATTTTTAGGCTCTGTCCACACTTGGAAGAAGCCGTATTCAGACTTGCAGCTCATACACAGAACTATAGTATTGTTGTTGTTATTATAATAAGATGTACAGATGAATTCTAGATTTGAAGCTTTCGTGACTGCAAGGATTCATATTCTTAGGTTTTTTCGGTAAAGTCACGTAGGTAAATAATAAAAATTAATAAAAGTAAAATAAAATAAAAATCACGACGTTTCGGAGGCAACACAAGCCTCCGCCTGTATCAAGTGATACAGCTATCGTGCTGTGACGGTTCCACCTGAAGACGGAGGCTTGTGTTGCCTCCGAAACGTCGTGATTTTTATTTTATTTTTATTTAACTTTGATTAATTTTAATTTTTTACCTACGTGACTTTACCGAAAAAACCTAAGAATATGTACAGATGAACTCAAATTAACCGTAAGGCGCCAGGGTGGCGAGAAGAGCGTGACGGTGGCGATATTTAACTCCCTCGCCTGGTATACAGGAGGTCCTGGGTTCCATTCCGACCCTGGCGCCTGTAGATTTGGAGTTGACATGTTCTCCTAGTAGTCGCGTGTATTTTTCTCCGGGTTCTCCGGTCTTTCCCTCCACATTTACAAACATGCGTTTAGAGTATTTGGTTGCTATACATTTCCACATGATAAGCCACTTCATGTGGCTTATTGCGTGGAAATGTATAGCAAACCAAATACTCTCTAAGCACACGTTGATTCTAAATGTGGAGGTAAAAACCGGAGGGCCCAGAGAAAAGGGAATACATTACAACTTGAAATATACAACAGGCGTCAGGATCGGGATCGAACCCACGACCCTCCTGCATACCAGGCGAGGTGATGAACATCTCGCCACCATGGCACCCCAATGAAACACAATGACCTTTTTATTTATTTTACACCGCAAGGGACAACACCAGGACATTAAAGTGCTGGCTCCATATGCTGACAAAACACATTACAGCCCCTCCGACACCCAGTCACGCCGGAGTGGCTGGAAACAACCGGAATCGGGCAACACGTCATCGGTTTGCGGTTCAGCTTATTGCGCGCGTCACTCGGTGTCAAACGTTTCATGCTGGCTGTAAATCCGTAGCGCCGCGTGCGGTGCGTGACAATGCAGTTTGCGAGCCCCTGGATAAAAGATTTCAACAGTTGTCAAATGAGCTAAGCTCCCCCCCCCCCCCTGATTTTCCCAATGAATATGGTCTCTTTGTGAGCTGCCCGAAACATATTTTCGAAAAAGAGTTCATTGCAGCTGTGGTTCCGTATATCTCTCAGGAGGAATTAGGTTCTCGGGATTACTGCATCGTTCAGCCATGGTCAATCCACTGCTAGGATCAAGGCCTCTTCCAAGCATCTGCTATCTCTCGCGATCCTGCGAAATATTGATCCACCGAGAACTTAAATTGCTCCACCGCCTCACTGTACATCCTCTCGGATACGTTTGGAATGACAAGATTTATAAAAATATACATAAATTACAGCCCTTTGTCAATCCACTGCTAGATGAAGGCCTCCCTGTACCATGTCAGTCATTGGATTATTTGACCATACTTCTTCGGTGCACTGATCAGTTTGATTTGAAGAAGGGGGGGGGGGGCAGATATCACTCGACACTGATGACGAAGAATCAAACAGTGCGCTAACCACTGCACCACCCCTCTACCCGACAGCATTACATCTGAATATATGCAAATGTGTCAAATGTATTTGGTCACCTGCAATCAACTGCTGCACACAGTTAACATCTCCCGATCGCGAGACCCGGCGGTCACGAATGATCGTTCAAAGAAGTGGCATATCACGACGTGGCAATTTAAAGTAGCAGCCAAATACTCAGAAACGCGTGACGTTGATTCTAAATGTGGAGGGAAAAACCGGAGGAACCAGAGAAAAATCCACATGACCATTGGGCGAACATACAAACTCCAAATATACAGCAGGCGTCAGGGTCGGGATCAAACCCACGACCTCCTGCATACCAGACGAGGTAGTTAACATCCCACCGGACCTCATGCATACCAAGCGAGGTAGTTAACATCCCGTCACTGTTGGCACTCGACTAATAAGTCAATGGTGGTTGCCCGATGGATAGACTTACCCCCCCCCCTCGTCATAGGAATGAGGAATTTCCACCAATGGCTCAGGGCTGTAAATCATGGATGAGCGCACTGCCTAAATGCTCAATTGAACAGGGAATAACTTCGACTCTTCTTGAGAGTGCAACGCAGTAAAATGTTGTTTTACCGCGCAACGCTCCTGCATCTGTGCTTCCCGCCTTCGTGAACATGCATTGACCGTTGTGGATGAAGGATGGTTAGATAGCTCCCATGATCGGCAAGCCAATGGGAAGCACTCACCCAGCAGTGGATTGACAAAAAATTAACCCGTAAAAACAAAGTTTTTCACTATAAATCCTTTATATGCGTGGCATCGGTTTTATTTTATTATTCATTTCTGTTTTTCTTGAGTAAGAGTTTCATTTTCATCACATTGGTATTTTAAATTAAATATAACATTTATTTTTTCCTATAAAGTGGAAAATTTTGTAAAAGAATTTTCACGAAAATAAATTGTCACGCACAACGAGTCTGTGTGCAAAATGTCAGCTCGATTGGATCACGGGAAGTGAGTTAAAAAACGACCGAAAGATTTGCACGGTCGTAAGCACGCAAAGCAAGCAAGCAAGTGAACTTAATATAAAGGATTTAATAAGTATAACCCGTAAAAACAAAGTTTATCACTATAAATCCTTTATATACGTGGCAGCTAGAGTCCTCTCGTCCTCTGGCTTGAGATGGCTGCCACCTATGGGTCAGATGATTGCCTGCCAGTATTAAGCAATTGGTAATTAAATATTTAGTTTTTTCCCTAAACAGTGTAAAATTTTGGAGAAAAAATTTTCACGAACATTCATTGTCTCGCACAACGAGTCTGTGTGCAAAATGTCAGCTCGATTGGATCACGGGAAGTGGGTTAAAAAACGACCGAAAGATTTGCACGGTCGTAAGCAAGCAAGCAAGCACGCAAGCAAGCAAGCAAGCGAACTTAATATAAAGGATTTTAAAATGTCTGCACGCTGTACTTAACACCATTACAATGAGGCATGCAATTACTCACTAACCTCTCCATATCCCCCACCTGACAACACCCCACACACCCCCAGCAATTCCACCAATTGTTATAAATAGTCGCGATATTATTTGAGAATCGATATTTTCGTCCGTTGAAACGGCCTCGTGCGTCTCGCTTCCCATGTATGCGAACGGTACGTGTGAAGCGAAAGTCATCAGATCCGACACGGACAATTCTACGCATGTATCGTGAGCGCAAGGATCGATATTTTAATCTCCGATTCGATGCATCGTCATATCTCTAATTACAACGGTGATAGCACACAAGAGCGGGACATTAATGTCAACGAATACTGCTTTGATTTATAGAACAAAAACCTCGCACTCATCAATAACGGCGGGGCTTTAGAATTATATATAACGAGCTTTTTTGCCTGTCCAAGGACGGGTGTAACCGTCACTTTCTGTAAAGAAACGTCATATTTTAAGCGACTTTGCGTAATAAATTACTTAATTCAGCTCGACCTTCCTCTGCGTTAGTGTAAAAATCCACCCACTCATGAATATTAATGAGGGGGGTGGGTGTCGTGTAGAGTGACGTCACGCGCGGGACACACACACACACGCGCACATTCTTGGCTTATTCTATT